GGTTGCAGTGCAGGCATGGGGGTCACAGTGCAGGCATGGGGGTCACAGTGTAGGCATGAGGGTTGCAGTGCAGGCATGGGGGTCACAGTGCAGGCATGGGGGTCACAGTGTAGGCATGAGGGTTGCAGTGCAGGCATGGGGGTTGCAATGCAGGGTCAGGCAGTGTGTAGCACCCCTGCTGCTGGGGCATTAGGGCCGTGCTCAAGGGTACACAGACATAAGGCCGTGGCTCGAACCAGCAACCTAATGATCACATGGGTCTGAGCCAATACAACTTTCTTGATTCTTATACAAATTATTTTCTTAGTTATTAACTAGATCAACTATATTGTGAGTTGTACCAGTATACCTGACCTGTGCATGTGACACATAAAGTTACCCAGTAATTAGGGGATGATAAAAACTGGCATTATGGTAATAATAATAATAATAATAATAACAATAATAATAATAATAATGTTGCAGACCCATAAGAACAATTGTGATACATACCATTGCACTGCAAACTTTTATCATTGCCTGATTTTCATTGTTTTTCATATTCTTTCACACAACATATATATTTCTTAAATTGAAACTAAAAAGGCAGCAGCATGTAACAAAAAGCAAACAGTAGTCATATTTACTGGATATATGTTCTAGGAAATGTGGCTTGTTCCTGTTAGCCTGCCGGCCTGCTACACGGTTCACTGCAACATCAAATACTTGTAAAAAGAAAGCAAACAAGGAACTTGCCAGATTTTTGTCTAAGATTTCATGTCAACCAATTGCACTTTGGTAATATCAAAACAATGTCACGGTTACAGGCTTTTTTAATGCCGCATTTAAGTATTCTTTACACCGTATCAGTTGCAGTCTCACAGAAGTGTCTTGCCTGTCACTATACCATCTCTCATGTCCACGGTTACTTATTTCAGAACATATTATAACAGATCACAGCAACTTACTAATGCTGGCACTTTGTAGCTTTTCCATGCATAAAGCTTGACCTAACACAATAAGTTGACAGAGGGCTGTGCAATCTGATGAACAATCAATCCTGTGTTAAAAGCAGAAACACACATTTTCCATATGATTTACACCTGTCAATCTCAGATCATCTACACAAGGAAAGCATTTAGAATCACCTGACAAAAGCAGAAGTGAGTTACAAAAGAACCAGCAGTAACAATTATTCTTGGAAGAACTATCTGTGTAGGAAATCATAGGTGTTTTTGGGACTAACCTGCAACAACTCTGCACATGAAAACAGTTCAATTACTGCAGACCGTCTCTTCTGGTTACAAAACCAGAAATCCATGTAAGACTATGACATGACTTTATCATTGCCAATAATGATATTTAATCCTTGGATTTTGTCATCACTCTGCTGATTTTGCTCAGTATTAAAGAGATTTAATACTGATTATTTATTATTACTTTGAAAACTGGAACACTCCTTTCTGCTCAAATTTTAGATGGCATGTCAAAAGCCTTGTACTGTATGTTGCACAATTAATTCACTAGACAATTATTTACTATATGTATGTTGCCATTGTTTTTGCATTATAATGCTGCAATGGAGGCAAACAGGGCTAAAAAAGTCTTTCTCAGAAGGGTCTATTGTTATCTCCCACTCTCTCATATTGATCATATAGTGCAGAGGAAGGCGTCCTGATCCTGGAGGGTCGGTAACCAGCAGGTTACCTATCCTACCTGATGACTTAGTATCTGCCTGAGATCAGGTGTGGGTCATCAGAGACCAGGTAGGATAGAAAACCTGCTGGATATCGACACTCTAGGATCAGGATTGCCTAACCCTGATATAGTGTACAATCTTTCAAACTGTATTCAAAAATACAGAAGTTTGACAAAAACAGTGTGAGAGAAAAATCGACTAGAGAGATATTTTTGTATACAGCTTTAGAATATATTTTTATATTAATGCAATGGTACATGTGTGTGTTAGACAGCTAACAACCAAGAATATGCTAAAGAGAATTAAGAGTTAACTTCTAAACGTGCTTAAACTTTGTGCTCATTAGATTAAGTGGAACAGAAATGTAAGTTTAAAACGTACTTGAAAGACAGGACAGGAAAACCACAAAAGGCTATAGTCCAGTGCGGGCTGCTTACAGATGGCTAGACCCATGAGATAAAGGCTGTACAAAATGCATATGCCTCGTACTTGCAAGATGCAAACTGCATAAAGTATATACATGCTTGCAAGATGCGTGCCCTACCTTAACCTGTTTTATCTGGTTGTGAGGAGGGGGGCGTGAACTGTGAATGTACCCCTATGAAGGTTATGTTGACCAGAAAGTTCTTTGAGCATTAGCACGGAGATATCATTGAAGTGGTTGGTCCCTGCGCTCAGCAATAAAATGACATCATTCTCTAAAGCAGGGGTCTCTAACCACCGGGCCGCGGACCGTTGCCGGACCGTGGAGCATTTTGGGCCGTGGAGACACAGACGCTGTTTTATTTTGGAAAACACTTCCATCTGTGGCTCATAGGTGGCGAACTTCGAAAGAATGGGTACGCGACCCATTTATGAACAAACCAGGTGAATCAAGCCTGTCCGTGCAAGAAGATCAACTGCTGGAGATTGCAAATGACGGTTTCAAACAACAACTCTGGTTGTTGGTGTTCTGGATTAACACGCCGGTGTTCTGGACTAAGATCAAGACAGAATATCCAAAGATCGCCAAAAAAGCACTGAATGCCTTGCTTCCCTTTCCAACAACCTATCTTTGTGAAGCGGGATTTTCTGCAGTGACAGCGACCAAAAGCAAAAAAGTATACTAGACATAAGTAACACACTTCGGGTGACGTTGTCTCCTATTACCCCCAGATGGGACCGGCTCGTAAGAGGGAAATAAGCTCAGGGCTCCCACTAATTCAGCGGGATGGTCAGTTGTATTTTTACGCACTTTGTTTCTGGTTTAGTTTCTATAATATATGTAAAATATTGTTTTACATGAAATTGGTTCACGGCGCAAAAAATGTTGCGGACCGTTACACATCTCCGTACTGTATGTCTCTAAACACGCCCTCCCCCGCCCTGGTCCGCGGAAATGTTAACGGAATAAAACCGGTCCGTGGTGGCAAAAAGGTAGGGGACCACTGCTGTAAAGCACCAACTAAGTGTCATAAATTTCTACCACAACAGTAGCCTAAATATAAAAATTAGAACATCGGACATTGGACTATTTCACTCAAGATTTCTATCAATTAAACTTAAATCATATATATCCATACAATTTTGCTCGTACATTTTTTTCAGTCGTCTCTCCTGCGATATGTGTTCTACAAAATAAATTAATAAACAATCAGATGATTTCTATAACCGAGTGCTGTTATTACACTTGATGGGCTTTTGGGTCAAGGTCAGACAAGCTCCGCTGGAGCACAGCTGTGAGTGATAAACAGGTTTCTCTGGAGATGACTCTTCATCGATTCTATTAGTATAAGGGCCTCTATAGCTGGAGCGACAGAAACATTCAGTCAGCAGGAGAAGACAAGCTTACCGCTGACCGCATGGCACTGGGGATCGCCGTTAGCTTGGCCCTCATTCTGGTAAGTGTAAAATGCAAATTATCAGTGTGTCTACATCTGATACGTTATCTATATTGCTTAACTCCAAACTGGGTCAGGAATCCTAATTTTCAATTAAGATGACACATTTCTTAAAATTTATTCTGGGATTCTTTTTTTTATTATTCATTTTGAGATCGTGAAGTGAGTTTAAGGAAAATTTTATGAACAAGTTTACACTTTCTTGCAGTGTCAAAAATACTTGGGACATCTGATATGCAACGTCTGCATTTGGTATTGGTGCAGTTTGTGTTTTAGCAATGCTGGAATAACTGGCTTTTCTTTTATTGCACTCCTTAAGATTCTAAGTTCTTGTGTTCTGGTTTGTGGGTTTAGATTGACACATATTGTGCTATGCATAGCCTGTGTTATGGATTGTAAAGTATATATATAATGATGCAGAATTTCAGACATTTATATCACATTTATGATATACAGTGGTACCTCAGTATACGTCCGCTTTGGAATAAGTCCAACTTGGTATACGTCCCGTTTGGGTGCGAAAAATGTTGCTTGGTATACTGTATGACCTTTGTTTGGAATGCGACTCGCGTGCTATAACTTGTGTGGGTCAAAATGAGTCACGAAATTTTGCGTAAATTCATTAACCATGACTTCTAAGAAAGTAGGCACTCGAATCTTCTCAGCAAGGTAAAGTGAGGTTAAATTTTCATTTATTTCATCTAATTGCTTTTGTATATAAGTATTAGTATCAAGCAGTGTTCAAATTATTTTGTACAACCCCATCAATGTCTAATATGCCAATAACAATAGGATTTTTTTTCATGAGAACGGATTAATCATTTCCCCTTTATTTCTTATGGGAAAAATTTGTTTGGTATACGTCCTGTTTGGTATACATCCTGTTTGGTATACATCCTGTTTGGTATAAGTCCAAGGATCTGGAATGGATTAAGGATGTATACTGAGGTACCACTGTATTTGCAGACATGTGTGATAGTGATGCTATTGGAGGTTGAAACAAAATATTTTCTTTATTGGTAGTAAACATGAAAAATAACGCAAGCGGACTGAAGAATAACAGAGTATAATTATCTTGAATAACATAATTATACTCTGACATTATATTATGTTATTCTATAGGTAGTAAATTGTTGGCATGACCTGGACAATACAGAGTTTGACTGCTGGCCAATATCGCAACCTAATGATTACAATATGATCGACTGTGGAGGTAAAGTAAAGACTTCGTTTAAGACAAGAATTGTAGCTGTTGTTGTTAGATCATTAAGCTTTATTCTCCTGTCTATCGGTTAGTATGGATATTGAGGTCAATTTTGTTGATTCTGTATCTTTCAACTCTTTACCTCATAAATGACGATGTTCATTGAATGTAGGTGTCTATGCCCTACTTAACACCAGGTAGAGGTGGAGATTTCAGGTCCAGAGAGTACAAATCCAGACCAAGATTTTGTTTCAACCAATACATTGAGTCAGTCACTCAACTGGTTGGTTGAAACAAAATCTTGGTCTGGATTTGTACTCTCTGGACCTGAAATCTCCACCTACAGTATGCTTAAAACATTAAACTATATTGGTAGATACTATGTTAAAGAACAAATCTGTGAAATTCAATGCTCAGGTAGATGGGGAAAAATACACACACACACACACACACACACACACAGATATATATATGCAAGAATCTGTGTTGATATTTGCTCTAAATGTTAAGGTAACGCCTTCTTAAAGAGCTTTGTAAACATACATTTAAATTTGCATATGACATATATGTGTATTACATTGCTCACTGTGGCAGTAATGCAGAGGTGAATGCAGAGTTATGCTTATACTGTACTGAATCACAGCAGTGGGCAGTAATATATGCAGCGCTGGATCCTAATCAGGCAGGTTGAATTAACCGCGTTGATATGTGGTCATTGCTGTGGCTGAGCAGGGCTTGAGATGGCGTGGGTGCAGCGACCTCCAGAAAAAGTCACCAATGGCGAAGAGTTTAATGTGACCTACTCGGTGACAGCGTCGGATTCTTTCTATGAGTATGCGGTCAACAACAAGATATTCAATTTTAGGTAATTCCAAAAGACTTTAAGACATTCTTCTTTGATATTTTCAAGAAACCCTAAGGTGAATGGTAAACCGTAAAAACAACAAATTGTAACTGTAAAATGTACAGGTGTAGATTTTCCACTGTATTGTAGTTGACTCGAGCCATGATGTCACGTCATAAATGCAGTCCGATTAAAGCTTTTTTATTCATAATCCTTAACAGGACTGTGAATCACACCAATCATCACAAGACATGCTTATATAACAACATACAAGAACAAGCATTACTTGTAACTGAACGAACAGGGGGAGGGTCACTGTACGAACAATGGGAACTACACATGGGTGAGTAATTTATACAAAGTCAAACACGGGGATAAAGCTTAAACTTAAGCAGGGAACCAGTACAGAACACACAATGCATGGAACCTGGAACATTAACTACATGCATGACATAGACAGCGGCCATTGTCAGCACGACAGTGCGGCATGCTGGGACACATGCAATTAGGCCAGACGGCGCTTGACTCACCGACGCGACAGTATACAATCTGCTGTAAAATTACAGGAGCACTGTTTAATGTACAATGGTATACCTTGTTTTCATAAATTGTAGAACTACATATTTAAAACTATTTTAACACGTATTCTCATGTCATTTTCATGTTACAGATTACACCAGTAACTGAAGCAAAAAAATTAATTCATGTTGCAACTAAAAATCGTATTAAATAAAGATAAATTTTACACTTACAAATATTTTATATAGCCTATTTTAAAAAGTATTTTACCTGATTGATATTTACAGTTTTTTCCCGTTATCATTTAAGGTATTTTTGCAGTATTTTTTTTACTGCATTTTTAAAAATTGTACAGTCAAACAATGTATTAAATACAGAAATATTTTGTATTTGCATCTACAGTTCTTTTTCTATATTTGACACGGTATTTTACCTGATTGTTTTTTTTACGGTATTTTCCTGTCGACATTTAAGGTATTTTTACCGTATTTTTTACGCCATTTTTTTTTTACAGTGCAGGATATCGCATAAGTACTTTTTGTTTAAGTCGATGTTGGTTGTGATACATTCTAGGAATACGTGGTATCTTATGACAAGAGCCGTGTTTCATTTTAACAGGGACGGGTCGGAAGCTAAGAAGTTCTGTCATGAGCATGAATGTCCATCGAACTGGAACAGTGCCAGTGAGCACAACTGCTGCGTGCACCACGCCAACATCCACTCCTGCCCCCTTGCTCTGATGGTGGGTGTCCTAGATTCTCTCACTTGGTTAGTCACTAATGAGCTTCATCAAAGGGATACAGAAAACAATATTTCAGAGCTACATTCTTTGTCTGTAGGTATAATGTAGAATAACATTGGGCAATTACATCAGCTAATTGCATCTTTCATCAGAGTGATTACAAAGACAAAGAGAAAAGCGGAACTCTAATTATCTGTCCAACACAATCAAAGTTGATTAGAGTATGAGGACATGCTCAAATATGGCCAATAAATGGCAGAAATGCTTGCTTTAATAGGCAGCTGTTAAGGTCCATTTCCTCTTGAATTATCTGTATGACATGAACACAAAATTCGACCTTGACTCTAAGACCTTTCATACAAAAATCAAGTTGATTACGATAAACAATTGCACTCAGTTGGTCTTTAAAAAGTCAATGGTTCTTATAGAGGCAAGGTGGGATTTGTGGACCTTGGATCCCTGATGATGGCAAGATTGTGACACATACAGTGTCTAAAGCAGGACGGATGAGCCAACAGAACTGGACATCAAAGGTGAATTTTAGCCTAAATGACTAAAAAAGTCTATTGGGCACATGTGCTGCGAAATGTAAATGACACTTTTCACCTGGAGAATTGTTTTATGACTGTCACGTTCTAGGTGGTGCTGATCCATGTAGGTGTGACCTCAGTCATTGCTCACATTAAAGTTGGACAGATGCATGCAGCTTTAGAGACCAAGGTCCTGGTCGTCAGTGCTCAAGGTCAGTAAGTCCTTGTCAAAATGCTCCATATATTTTGTGTTCTTGTTGTACCTTTTGAGCATAAATAACAGAAGTGGCATATATCTCCGTGATAACTGCAAACGATACAATCAGTTATAATCATTCATGTACATTTTTTAATAGTATGGTTATGACCGATTGATAAAAAGTATCTAAATCCAAATGTATGTATTACATCTTTGATTTGACTCTGGAGGCAAGGGCATCAGAAGCAGTTTGACACTGGGTGGGACTGTATTTGCCTTAGTTGTGGGGGGGGGGGCAGTTTTGATGTGTATCAAGAAATTTCAATGGCCATGCATGGAACAGTCACATCATAAAAGTAAGAAAGATGTAAGAAAGATTTCAAAATACTAAACATAAGTGTAAGATAACAAAGGTTTTATCATTTAAAATAAGACTAACACTGTTTAGGGTGCAGTTTCACAAGTAAACATGACTAAAAAATAATTGATCCATACAGGGGCATCATGCAAGCCTAAATTCTGAGGGGGTGCAATTAGAGTAGGGGGGGTCCTTCCCCCCAAAAAAAGAGAAAAGACTCTGCAAGTCTTAGCTGAATGGTTCCCGAAGCCAGGTGTGCTTTGCATTGTGGGATGTGGCGGAGCGCTCAAACCAGTACCAGTAGCTAGGCGGAGGAGAAACTAACCAAGGTTGTGCTTGGTCCTTCTGGAGATCTGAGCAGATGACTACTTTTGTCAGTTCCTAGAAACAACTCACAAAAACTCTGAAGTGTTCAGTCAACAGTTGAAGGAGAAAGGATTTGACCGGTCGACTGAACAGCGCCATGTGAAAGTTAAAAAAAAAAAAAAACGAGGCAACAATACATAAAAGTGAGAGATGTTCAGCTGCACAGCCCAGGACACAGAACCTTCTACCTGTATTTACTGCCAGGACATAGAACCTTCTACCTGTATTTACTGCACAGCCCAGGACACAGAACCTTCTACCTGTATTTACTGCACAGCCCAGGACATAGAACCTTCTACCTGTATTTACTGCACAGCCCAGGACACAGAACCTTCTACCTGTATTTACTTTCTTGCTTCCGCCACAAACATATCTGGCCAATAAGCAGAATGAACATTCTCACATGGTTTGTAGTGGTGCATTGTGGCTTCAGTTGATTTTTTCTCTGTGTGAAAGCAAACCGAATCGAGGGGAAAATGCTACAAGTTTACAAACTCATGAACTGATTCAGTCCAGAGAAAACCGAACTACAGGTGTGAAAAGACCCTTAATCGCACTGGGCATGTGCAGTGAATTGGCTTCAGTAATGTGCGGATTCATAATGAAAGATAAGGAACGCGCTCTTAACTTGTCTTATCTGTTTTATATGTGAACATTACAGAAACATGTTCAACAGCAAAAGCTGCCAGCTGCCATTATGAATGGCAATTGTAAACCACAAAAATATCCCAAAGGGATTTTGTTTTCCAATGCGCTTCAGCCCTAAATAAATATATATAAGTTGGCGCCTTGCATGGCAGCCTTTGCCACCGGTGTGTGGATGGGTGAATGTGAGGCATGAATTGTAAAGCGCTTTGAGTACTCGTAGGAGTAGAAAAGCGCTATATAAATGCAGTCCATTTACCATTCACCATATAAATATATATATATACACACACACACACACGTGACATTACTGAGGGCGTGGTGAAAGCTATAGAGGACATAGGTCAGACTGAAACTTCAAGGAAAGCTGACAAGTAACAGTGACAGAACTGGGAAGGGGGCAGTGTCTCTGTCTGGAGGCACTTTGTAATTCAGATTATTTGCTTGCCTCTGTTACCCAATTTCTCAGTGTGCGGGGATGACATCTGCGAACCCGAGGAGAGCTGCCTCACTTGCCCGGCGGACTGTGGGGTCTGTCCCATGTCCATGACCATCAAGGTGTCCACTGGCCTCCCAGTTGCCCTATTCTGCACCGGCTTCATCTTAATTGTAGTGGTAAGACAAAAAAAAAAAAAGTATAATTCAATTTAAAGAGCCACAGAAGTCTTATAGTCTGTCTGTAAGCAGTGATATGCCATTGGCCAAAATATTGTCTCATTTTAGTGGCTTCAGTATCAGAAGCAGAAGATGTTTTGGGATGAGAGCTGGATCATCAGTTATATGGATATCATGTTCGGTGAGAGGTAGTTACTTAAATTGTATAAGTGCAGTAGTGACTCGAGGTCTAGACAGTAATGACTGGAATTGTTTTGCAGTTAAAACATACTGTGCAGGTTTCTCCAGTACTGCCAGTCTGCAGCCGGGGAAAAGGGACTCCAGTGTCAGCACCATAACTGATGTGACGCTGTGCACTGTGGTCAACACTGTCTACAGGGAGGGCTCCATTCAACCAGGAATTTAGTAAGTGGACCTCATTCACCTGAAATGTGATATAAACTACACATGCTCTAATATTTACCATGCACCTTTCCTCTTACTGTGATGCAAATAATCAGAAAGTATTTGGGGGAAGGTATTCTGAAATGTGTGTGTGTGTGTGTGTGTGTGTGTGTGTGCGAGCGGGTTTACCTATCCTTATGGGGACATAATGTCCCCATAACGTGATAAATATCCGTTTTTTTTCCCTTATGGGGACCAGGAAACCAGGATTCTATAAAAATCGGTGACTGCTATGAAAAAACTAAAAATGCAAAAACTCTTGTATTTTGTTTGGTTACTTATGGTTATGGTTAGGGCAGGGTGGGGGTTAAGGTCGTCATAGTTAGCGTTAGCATTTTTCCTTTCCACGTGGAGGAGCCGCATCTTTACTTTCAATCCCTCCTGGATGTCCAATGCTGTACCAGCTTGTATATGCAGCCTCACTGTTTGAATTACATCCGATGTTTGAATGTTCATTTCCATTCAAAACTGATTTAAAGATCCGCTTTCCACCCACCCAGCCATCTTCCAGCCGTTTATGCTGAGCTGGGTCATGGGGAGGCCAGGAGAACACAAGGCAGGGCTACACCCTGATTGGGGTGCTAGTATTTATTTGCTATTCTTGGTACTTTGATTTATTTTTATTACCTGCCAAGTTGCCATTACCTCTACAGGCATTATGTTTAGTGGCTTTGATTTAAATGAAAGATTTTTTGGCTTGAAGGTTAATAAAACAAAGTAGTCATTACATGCAGAGGTATGAACAAATGTTCAGATTTTTTCCATGTTTGTATGGATTTCTTGTTGGTCTTACTGAAACACTCAAAATCACAAAGGCTGCAACACTGATTTGGTTAGTGGTTATGCTTGGCTGGATCATTGATCCCAACACGTGATGTAGGCAGTGACTAGATTTCATAAGTGTGTCTCTGGATTCATGTTTTTTTTGACAGTGATGGACGAACAGTGGCAGTAAAACACATACAGAAGAAACATTTCACCCTTTCAAAAACAATCAGAAAGGAGGTGAAAGAAGTACGGTAAGAATTATAGACTGACTACTTCAATATCATCCAATCAAAAGTGAATAATCAGTTGAAAGTTTTTAATTGGACAACATCATTACCCAACAGGACATTGGACCACCCTAACCTGTGCAAATTTATTGGTGGATCTATTGAAGTTCCTTACATCAGCATCATTACAGAGTATTGCCCAAAAGGAAGCTTAGCTGATGTTCTTTTAAATGAAGATATACCGATTAACTGGGGATTTCGGTAAGTATATTTAAATTTTTATATTATTGTCCTCTACAGCTCACTGTGAAATTATTTTTGTTCTATTCTTTGCGAAAATTCAAGTAGACAACTGGCTAAACCCCTTGATTCTATCACCCAGGCTGTCGTTTGCCATTGATATAGCTCGCGGGATGTCATATCTCCACCAGCATAAGATGTTTCATGGACGGCTTCATTCTCGGAATTGCATAATTGATGATCGTTGGGTCTGTAAGATTTCAGGTATAATTGTGATAAAATCACTGTAAAAACAAAATGAACAGGTTTTGGTTTAAGTAATGAGACATCATGGGCTTGCATCAATGAGTTTTAAAAAGTTAGGCATATATATATATATATATTATAAGTGTTTATTGTGAAATTTAAGTAAGTAAGTTAACACAGATATAGTGCCTTACAAAAAGTATTCAGACACTTGTGTTGTAGTGTTCGATTTTGTAAAGGTTATAAATGATCTGCTGACAAATTTTCTAAAGATATTTTGTTTTGCATTCTAGACTGTGGACTTGCAGTTTATAGAAAAGAAGATGTTGAGATAGTGAGTAATGGTTACCAGTCTCGTAATTTCTACCGTATCTACTGTGCTCCAGAGGTCCTCCTTGGAACCTCTGGTTTCTTCACTGCAGCTGCTGACATCTACAGGTAAAGATAATGGCAACACACTGGTCCTTAGGACGCTGTGATTGGAGCACTGGATTCTTTGGGCCTTGTGTTATAGTTTTAAATATAACCCTGCTGTCACGTTAGGTTCTAGTAGTTTTCATGCCTGCTTAGCAAATGTATGATTTTGTTAAGCATTTAAATGAGTACTATACTGTATATAAATCGGTCTAATTTACAAATGGATTCCTGTTTGTGGGATGGTGTCTTGCATTTATGCTTGGATTTCTTTGGATTGTTTTTTTCTTCCTCTTTTAGTTTCTCTATTATCTTAGTTGAGATTGCCACTCGTTGTGAAGTTATTTCTGTGAGTATTCTGCTTTACTCCTTTGATGACGCCCCTTTAAGTGCACAGATTGGGTGTCGCCACTCAGGGCTGTTCATGATTTTACTTTAGCAGCGTCAAATGGAGATGGTTAAGCTGGATGTCGTATGGCGTCCTTCTCTCCCTGAACTGAAAGCTGCGAAATCAGACAGTGACTGTCCAAATGAGGCAGATTATTGTGAGGTCTGTAAACTGTGATTACTTTTGTTTCTCGTTTTCAGTTATTAATTAGGTAATTAATAATATTGTCTATAAATAGATGAAATACAAGTCTTATTAATTTCCTTTGAGATGGAAATCCCCATCCATTGATTATGTTTTCATTACTTATCTGACACATTTATATTTTGTTCAAAAACTATTCTTTTTCTATTTAAAGACACAAACAACTTTTGAATTGCTGCTAAAAATGAATCTTAATATATGCTGATACTCTAAATACATATTATTACACAAGAAATTACAGTGGTACCTCAGTTCTCAAACTCATTAGAACTCCAATTTCTTAAAAGTCGAACCAACCTGTTCCAAAAAAAATTACCTATAACTCAATCTGAATCTCAGAAGTCAAACCATGAACGGCAACTTAAGATAACTTGTACGCGCGGGGAAATGAATCACGCGGCACGTCTCTCAACGGAAACAAAGGGTAACACATCAGTCTCAGCCTCGCATTTGCTGTGATAGAATCGTGCATGTTTACACTAGCTGAATACACATATTTAGACAGTAAAAATACATTTAGACAATGATAGACAGCAACAGTAATTATTATTAATGTATTATATAATAAAATACATTTAAAAATAAAGATTTCTTATTAATTATTTAATATTAATAATAAACCATTAATACATTTAATTATAATAATATTGTTGTGCCGAGCGGGGACGGAATGGAGACAAAGGTGCAGACGTCAGGGTATCGGGGAATACGGGGTTTAATTACAGGTAAGGCAGGCAAAACGCAGATGGGCAATTCAATGACCGGACTGGGGAAACAAACTGAAACGGGGACGAAATACTGAGGACTAATGACAACAACCAGAAACAGCTGATCACACGGGGATTCCACACGGGGTTAACGAGGGGGTGTGGCACACGGAAGGAGCAGACGATCGGGGCAGGATGCGAGTTCTGAACGGATTAAGTTCGAGTTCTGAGGTACCACTGTATTTCTGTTTATACAAAATGGAGCGTTGATTCTGTTACACTGTGATCTTAAACCACCTGGGGTAAATGATAATTTCTAAACAATGGTTAAACTTTATGCAGCTGATAAAGAAATGCTGGTCCCATAATGTGACAATGAGGCCGACATTCGGGCAAGTGAAGAAGATGCTGGAGCAGATGAATCCACACAAAGTCAGCCCAGTGGACAGGATGATGAACCTGGTACAGTACGCTCAACAACCAGCATGAGCACACATACGATTCACACCAGGGCGTCACTGTGTTTTCAATATTGAGGGGGGGCAGGGACAGATCCATTAAGTGACTGAGCCAAATCAGTCCTCTCACATTATCCTGTATGACCTTGTATAGTATATGGTACCTATGTACAGGCTACCTGTATATTTCAGTTTTTACAATATACATTCATTTATGTGTATGCAAGCTACAGGTTTTTTCCTCTCGGTCAGTAGATTAGATGGGAACCAAATTCTCCTGACAAATATATTCATATTTTTAAAAGCAAAATCGTGGGACAAACACTACTGTTTTAATATTGGGTAGAACATGTCTATGGTATGCCTATAGTTTCATGGAGCCGTTAAAGATTTTCTGAATGTAGACTAAATGTTGTAGTTTTAAACTAGAAAACTCTTCAATGAGATGTTCTAAAGTAAAGCCTTCAAGTAAACATTCAAAACCGAAATTTGGGGGCTGGAATAAATTGTGGCATCACCAACCTTTGAAGTTAAAAATCCAGTATTATTTTTGTCAACTGCTGTATATAAATATTTTGCACATCAATTCCAGATGGAAAAATATAGTAAACATTTGGAAGCTGTTGTGGCAGAGAGAACTCAGGATCTTCTCCAAGAGAAGCAGAAGACTGATCATTTGCTTTACAGTAAGATACTCATCTACTATTGGCTGTATTTTTACTGTTCTTTGGTTAGTTACCAATTTAATAATAAACGTGAATTGAGGAAATTACAGTAAAGTATCATGCTGTGTTCCATCTTCCAACCTCTTATTGTGGTAGTGGGGGGGGGGGGGGGCGGTGGCATAGACCATTACTCAAGTATCACAGGGCACAATGCTTAGGTACACCCCGAATATGGTGAAATATGAACAATATAAGTAACCAAGTATTTATTATTTGCAGTCTAATCATAATAGTCTACGTCACCAAGAACTTCATAAGACATTATGTTCTGCAAATATATATCACATTTTTATAATCAGAATAGAATATAATTCATACATAATTAACTTCAGGACCGTCAATAAATACATTGTAGTGTGTACAGCTTACAAAAAATAAAATGACTCAGATGTGAGTTGTGAGTATGACTATCAAATTCTGCACAATACGTGTACAAAAATATGACTTGCTTTTACATGAGAAGAAATATCCATTTTATTAGGTATGCTACCAAAGCCAGTAGCCGATGATCTCCGCCAAGGCCGTACAGCAGAGGCTCAAAGCTACTGCAATGCTACAGTGTATTTCAGGCAGGTTTTAACAATTGTATAGATGTGTGATGTGACGGCTAACTCCTTGTGCTGTGTTGTGCTGTGCTGTGGAATTCAGACAAGTCCCACTTTGTTTTTAGTCAAGTATTTACTTATTGGCTTTCTTTACTGTTAAAAACAACAACAACAACAATGACAAAAAAAAAACAGTTTTGTGTTATGTGCCAGAAGGTCAGTGACCTCTGTTTGTTTCTGATGTGACAGTGATATTGTAGGCTTTACCCAGCTCTCAGGATCAAGCACGCCTCACCAAGTGGTGGACTTCCTTAACAAGCTCTACACAATCTTTGATGAGATCATCGACAATTACGATGTGTACAAAGTAGAGACTATAGGAGATGCATGTAAGTAAACCTTTGAGTTTCAACTGGGAGTACATTAAGGCTTACCGCACACTCCACACTCACCAACATATAATTTACAGTTCCCCTTAAACTTTATTCTGAATTGTAGTATATTTTATGTATTTACTTTGGACGACAAATACCAAAATTCTGTTTAACAAGACCTTTTTAAACATCTTATTGCAATTTCGATGACATGAGGAGGTTACAAGTCTGGGCAGGCTGTGTCTTGTACTGATTTAGGTGTTATAGGGATAATTCAGCTCTTAAGACAGAAGGTGGTTAAATTTTTCCAGAAATATTTTCTTTTCTTTGTCAGATATGGTTGTTTCAGGTGTTCCAAATGAAAATGGGATCAATCATGCTGGGGAGATTGCCAGCATGGCTCTTGACCTGATCAGTGTGTGCCACACTTTTAAAATCCCTCACAAACCCACAACACAGTTGAAGATACGGGCTGGGATCCATTCAGGTATAATTTTCTGTCAGCAGTATAATCATTGTGTAGAATGGACTTCATGGTATGTATATTTTTAGACCATCATAGTTTCTAGACATTGCACCATGGTATTCAATATACTGACTGTTCTTGCCAAAGCAATAGTATGCTGATATTTTGAAATCTTGGAAATTAAATGTGATAGTGGAGGGGGTCCCATGATAAAATTTATCGCCAAGATTTCAAAATATCGTTTTTCCACTACCTAAGCCTACTTTATTGTTTTTTATAAAAGAGCACTATATTTCAAGAAAAGTAACCTTTCAGATTAATTTCTGCCTATTCCCACAGGACCTGTGGTTGCTGGTGTCGTTGGTACGAAGATGCCACGGTATTGTTTGTTTGGTGATACAGTGAATACGGCCTCGCGAATGGAATCAACGAGTGAAGGTAGGGAGAGCCAAGGACTTAAGGATTATGTTGATAGCCTCTGATGCATGAAGGGCATCTAACATTAGCATGTATCCATATCATTGAGGAGGCATTCTTTAAAAATGCTGGTACCTACCAAAATACATTCTGAATGACTGATCTCATTGTACAGAAGGTAGAAAAAAGTGTTGGTCAGTTATTATTAGGTATGTTGATTATTTTAATATTCTAATGGGAGCTACTTCTGAAATCTTGAAGGCTTTTATTCAACTTGGCGGTGATGCAATAATTTGTCATTCAAGGAATGAAAAGCTGATTAAGACAAAAAATGGATAAAGAATTTAATGGGCATAGATTGAAGTCTTCATCTTGCCTTTTTAAAAGTATATTTAAAAAGATTTAGTCTTGAGATTGAATATATACCATGTTCTGCATTAGAAATGCTTCTTGTTTTACTTCTGATGGTTGTAGAAGTAGCTTCACTGCTGAACTAATCTCTGTTATATCCAAATGAAAATGATTTGCCTGGTTCCTAATCTACTGTACATTAATATGCATCAACAGCTTTGAAGATCCAGTGCAGTGGTAGCACTGCTGATATGCTCCACAGATTGGGGGGGTACATTCTGACCTGCCGGGGCTCACTCATTGTGAAGGTAACAGCTAGCTTGAGTTTTGCAGTTATGTCTTACCTGTAAAGCAGTTATGAGACGACAAATGCTAGATATGTATTGCCAATGTACATCCTGTAATACATATCCTTATTTTACAGAGCACAGCAATACTATTGATAATTATAAATTAGAAAAAAATGCATCAAAATTCCAACAAAATGCATGAAATAATATGTATTGCCAGCAGCTCAATCCTAAACATATTTGCAAAAGTCTAAGTTCCTTTTGGTACATCCATAATATTAAATCCTATCTACATCATAGCCCCTTCATATCCTCTGAGACCAATGAACTTTGTATAGATACACGCAACTAAATTTGCTTTCAGTAAATTAAGTTTAATTTACTTGATCTGCAACTGAACCTCTGAATAAAAATAGACCAGTAATTACTGTAGTACGTGCAAGAGATTTAACCTCCCCCATTCCGTTTACGTTTGATTTCTGTATTTCCTGTGAGACGCTTACAGATGCCTTACATTTAAATCAAACCTGTTTGTAGGATGGACGACTGACACAAGCAGCTGTCTCTGTTTTACAGGGTAAAGGTGAAATGAAAACTTGGTGGTTGGAAGCCAAGAAAGGACAGTTTCATTCGAAGGAGAGTAACAATCAGCCCTGTGATATGCCTGTACCTGTCAGCAACTAGCCTGTGTTCATGCGATTTTTTTATAGTACTTTGTATACATTGTCCTAACATAAAATGTGTCAGAAGTCATTTTTTCCCAGTTACCTTCAGTGTAATTGTGACTCTTAAAATAATGAAATTTATGCCGTATTTTTTTCGCCGTATTTCGGAGATAGTGTCTATTGTCTAGCACTCTGTGAGTGTTATTGATTTTCGCCTGTAGATGTCAGTAATAAGATAAAGTGTTATGGTAATATAGTGTAAAACTTAGATGTTTATATTTCAAAGGGTTTTTAAGTATATTTGGTTAATTTGCCATCCATTCTCAATATTGCTTCTTCCAAATTCAGTACAGGATAGCCTTCTGACCTACCTGACACATTAATTCTCCACAGCAGAACACTGTAAAATATTAAACCTTGACTGAAATCAGAACCAAAGAACCCATGTGTGTGTATATTTCACTGAGTAGCCACTTCATGCATGTAAGTCCAAATTCCTGCTCCATAAATGTTTTATGGGTAGATGAGTTGTGCGTTGAGAGAAGATGTTTTGCTTGTACACGCCACTGTTGCACCAAAATGTAATTTTGAATTTCCTCACCCTCCTTTTAATCAGACTGGCTATCCTCTTCTGATGTTTCATTAACAGGGTGTTTTAGCTACTGAATGGATGTTTTTGTTCACGATAAAATTCTCTGTGAACAATAGATGTCTAGACTGTATTATGTGAAAATACCAAGAGAATGGCTGTTTCTGAGATGGATCCAAGTATGCCAAAGATCACAGCACATTCAGAATAGTGTGCATCAAGCATATTAGCTGTTGTAATGTTTAGTTGAACAAGAAGTGAACCCCTTGACTGATTGTCCATTCTGTATGTATTCTTTGTAGACTGTTTGTATTAGCAAGCAGATGTATCAAATAATCTCCCCATTGGTTTGTATATTATATATGTATAGTATAAACACACACACAGACACATATATGTATTCATATGTTTATTCATACATTCATTCTTTTGCCTATTTGCTTATTCATTTATACGTATGACAGCCATTTGTGATATTCAAATATTAAGATCTTATGGAAGTTCTTCAACCCTCTCTCTTGAATTGTCAACCGTTCTTAATGCAGATTGTTACATAATGGAAATTTGTGGAAATTATAGATTATAAATGTGATTTGAAATAAAAGTACAAATTTTAGTTTGGGGCGGAATTACAAAAGTAAGAGCATGTCCTCTGGGTCACATTATAAAACTTACGTAATCAATAAACGATTAGCAATTTGGCAGTGATAAAATTCTGCCACAACTATACCTCCAAATCCTGTTTAAAACTGATTAACTGCAAAATTAAATTCAGATTATACATTATTTAGATATGCAGCTTCACTTAAAGAACTGCAGATGTTCACAATCATTAAGCACATTGGTGGGTACAGTGACAGGCAACGTGAGCTTCAGTGTTATCTTTGAGGTCCACGGTCTTCTCCCAAAAACTGCTAAGACTGTTCACATTAGAATCTGCAAAAGGGAAAATAAAGCACTATGTCAGGCATTGCAAATGCATAAGTTTAAATGTCTTCCAGTAACTATGAAAGTGCACAATGGTATTCTTTTGCCCCTCAGAAAATGGGCCTTGCTCTTGCCTATGGAATCGGTGAAGAACATACCGATGGGGAGGCAGTGGAAGCCAACAGTCACAGGGGTTGTTTTTAGTGGGTTGCAGCCCGGTAAACACTGCAGCACAGGCTCAACGGAGTAGCATTTAGATTCCTGGCCGTTCAGATTAATCTGCTTCGCCAGCTGAATGGACTCTGTCTTCATGAAGCACTCTGCATCGGAGAAGAATTTCTCAGGATTAGAAAAAGCCTTTTTGGTTCAGCTTTTGTAAATCAGTTCAAACAAAAACACTCACGCTCAGCATCCCGGCAACTTTTTGCAGGAAGAACCCAGGAGTGGGAAAAGCTGACGGCGCTACTGGCCAGGCGTCCATTGGGGGTGCGGAATTCCTGTTTCACTTCCCCGTCGGCCTTTCCACAAACTCCACAGGCCTTGCCCTTCATCCAATCAGCTAGCAGAATCTGAACAAAATTCACCACACAGTTAATCGTGTGCAATAGGGAAACAAAAAATCTCAAAATCACATTCATTAAAAAGCAGTTTCTTACTTTCCATGTGTTCTCATCAAAGTAGAATTCATGGAGACCATGGTCAGCAGCATATAGTGACACACCATCGCCTTTGAGTACGACTCGGATTGACCCTTAAAATATAGACAAAAAAAAGGTGCATTTAACGTCACAGATGTATATATATATAAACAAATGTGTGCCAAACATATTTGGGATATTGCTTTTAATCCGACTTGGAGCTGAGGAGGCACCTGAAGGATGTTCATATGGGAGGCTGCTTCTGGGGACTCGCATTCCATTGACATTCACCCGAATTTTGTCGTCTTCAATCAACAGGTCAATATCTCTGAAGGGAAAGCAAGAGTAAAAAGTAGCAGTGAGCAAAATTTCATGAAACCTGAAAAATGAAACAGAAGTTAGTGTGGCGTGTACTCACACATTAGCAACCTTGACAATGGCGTGTGGATCAGATGAGCTGCTGTTTTTTAACAGAACCATAAACTTGTGCTCAGTTGTGCAGTCCTGAGCCAGAACTTGGTAGCATGATTCAGGCCTTACGCTTCTGATTTTTCTTCTGTTGAATGTTGTCAGCATGTCATTTTCCATATCGCAGCGGGCTGGATGGATGAAGGAAGAAAGTTTTAAAATAATGTTTGGCATTTAGAGCATGGTGTCGTGCACATTTCATCTTGTGTTTATTTGCAACTCACTTATACCATTACAATGTAGGATACAAAGAAGCCATTTTAAATGACAAGAATTCAGTAAAGATTTCATTCCTGTGCTTTGTTTTATTTAAAGTAGTAGCACAGACAACACTGACAGGAAGGAAGATAATGATACTAGGATTTAGGTAGCCAACTCTCAAGATTTATCATGCTTGTTACATGGTGAAACATGGTGAAACTTTTCTTGTTCTTCTTACCTAGAGTGGCTTCATTAAACATATGGAGAATTCTGTCAGATATGCTCTGGTCCCGCTGTATTTGAGAAGCTGCATCTCCAATAGGCAGGGCGAAGGGATTATATACAGCAAGCTTGTAGAACGTCATCTAAGATAACACATGGAGCAAGTCAATGGGAATGTGTACAGCCAGCTTACAGGGAGTTACTGTATATAAAACAAGGTATGCAGAAACAGTGAATGTAATTATCAATGGAGTTATCTCATTATGGAGCACTTCACTCATTCACTCATTCATTCATTCATTCAGTCATTCATTCAGAAAAGGCGTCATGTGTTATTCACCCTTGGTGTTTTAATGATAACATTCAGTAGCCGGGGTGCAGCAACAGCTACAATCAGTTTAATCTGTCTCCCTGTGTTTTTGTCCCTTCCACCTCTTAGCCCAGCCATGAAAGCGGCACCTGGGATGTACTCAGCGAGCCTTCGTGGAAAAAAAGACAACGAAATGACAGATTCCAACCGGTAATTCAGACAATGGAATTTTAAAAGGGTCATTATTAATGATGGGAGTGGAGACTTACATATTTGCAGATTTCTTAATGGCGCGAGGAATCTTGTCCCATTTCAGCTTCAAGCGGGCGGCAGGGTTTGTACCCATAAGACCAGTTTCTGCTGCGATATCTACTCTATATTGCTGGCAATGTTCTCCCCAGCCAACCTTTGCCTATTTCAAAAGAAAAGATATAATGTTAATTGTCATTGAGTTTGCAATTGGCTTTAGAAAGAGAGAGAAAGCAAAACACAAAACACAAAACCCAGCTGCCCTTAAATTATTGCTCCTAAATGGCAGAGCTACTCTGTTGCTCTGGTAAAGCGTTTTGTGATACAATTGCAAATTCAAGTGCTGAATCTCACCTGGACTTTGTGCATGCTGAGCAGGATACCATCAGCACACATCTTCCAGTTGTCATTCTCGGCTAGAGCGGCCATGATGATCTGCATCCTGTTTGTGTCCCTGTCCAGGTAAGCGGCAGCCTGGTATCCCTGCATTTTACCATCAGTCCTCACTGCACGGATGATGACGGCCAGTTCTGGAGGGATGGAATCTCCAAGCAATCTTGACTGTACCACAGAGAGACAGAGGTAGAAAGCTCAGAAAATGCTTAATTCTGCTATGACAATATAACGTGGCTTACAGTCACGCACAGCGTTGGTTATACCTTCCTGTAAATGTCTTCAAAGCTGGAGCCACTGCTGCTGCTACTGCTGCTGCTGCTGCTGCTGCTGCTGCTGCTGCTGCTGTCAGAACTTGAGGAGGATCGTCTTTGGTCAGCAGCTTTGGATCTGGTTTGCTGCTAGGAAGCGTAAGAAATTTTGTTTAAAGCCTGTACGGTTTTGAAACTTACATACATTAACGTAAATATAGCCAGATTCTACTGTATTACCTCCTTTTGGTTGTATTTGACA